TGATTATTAATCTTAAGTCTATTGTTATAATTATTAATTTTTATCAGCAATTATGGCGCTACTAATAAACAGAAGTAATTTCCGAGCACAACCTTATAATTTTTTCGGACTAACCCATGTTTATTTACATTAAAAGAGAATTTATTTGTAAAAAAAAAAAATATATGTAAGAAGTAAAATAAACATTATTATTATTATTATTACTAGTAATGGATGAAGAAATAGGAATGATATACAATCACGTGACCTCAAAGTATCAATACGTGCCATATTGTTTCTACACTTCCCTTAATGGTGACGACAGTTTATTCTGTGATGTTTTCTTTAAAAAACTACGATTTTTGGAAAATATATTTTACTACTGTAAAATGTGTATTAACTACCAATCTTCTATTTAGATTTAATTTACAGTTTTGTATAAATTATAGTTTTCCATAAATTGATTTTTTTTTATAGTTTTGAAATAAAATAAAGTGAATATGAATATACAGTTGAAACATTATATTATACCTACTAATTGTATATCTGTTTACGCGTCAAATCGAAATAAAACTATTGATTTTAAAGTATACAGGTTCCGATTGAAAAAGCAATTAGTCGGAACTTGGTGGCCATATTGACGCTACATTTACGTAAACGTAGCCCTGTTCATTTTAGAATACACGTTTAAATAAAACTATCCTGCCTCTATGGTTACTACTAAATTTATTAATGTTACTTGAAAAATATCCGTCGAATATTAATTTGTCCGCAACATATTTCTGGACAGTACACTCTTTCTGTGTTGTCATGTCTCTACCATTCTATATCCTGCATAAAATTTTTTTTTCTAAAAATTACTATTCCAATTAATATAATCTATTAAAAAAAATAAAGAATTGAAAGCATTAATATCAGTTTTTTATTCATTACAATCACTTAAGTTTTTTATTTATTATCTTTTACACGTGTATCGTATATAGACATTCTGGTTCATAACCTTTAATTTTGACAAGACATTTTTTTGACGGCGGCAAGTGAATTTAAAAATTGAACTGTTTAATAAGGACATTTAGGATGGCAAGGAAATATGAAGTGTGCTAAAATATTTTTAATAAGAATTTAAGGCGCTCTTTTAATAGATAAGGTTTTGTTATCATAGACGAAGGCATATATAAAATTGTAGCTGCTTACTGTCCTAAAATAGTTGTCATCATATAAATATATAAATGCAAAAGTTTGGATGGATGGATGGATGGATGGGATGGATGTATGTATGTATGTTGCTCAATCACGCAAGAACGGTCGAACGGATCTGAATGAAATTTGGCACAAATATAGATTATTGCCTGGAATAGCACATAGGCTACTTTTTATCTAAAAAAATGTACGGTTCCCGTGGGATCGATTTGTGTTTGTTTTTCACAGAGCAAGTGATCGGACATAATTTTTTTTATAGTGGTAGTAAAAACATGTAAAATTTGAAATAAATAAATAATGACGTGTTTCAGGGTTTTTGGTTTTTACCTTTTAGGTAGGGGAAACGAAGGTTAAAGTTTGCATGGAAGCAACTATTTTTTTGTAAGTTGAAACTTGAAAATTGGAATTATAACTACTCATCACAAATAAATCAATGATTTTTTGATTTTCATATTTTAAGAGGTCAGAGAGGGAAAAGAGGGAAAAAGCGGGCAAGAGGGGAAATATGTGAAAAAAAAAATTGAGGGAAATTGGGAAAATGTGGGAAATGAGAGAAATGTGTGTGGAATAAAAGTTTGTATGGTAGGAACTTGAAAATTGGAATTGTAGGTACTCTTCATAAATAAATAGACAAGTGTTTTTTGGGTTGTCATATTTTAAGGGGGGGGGGGGGGAAACGGGTTAAAAGTTTGCAGGAATAAAAATTAATAAAAATTAATAAAAATTAATAAAAATTAATAAAAATTATTAAAAATTAATAAAAATTAATAAAAATTAATAAAAATTAATAAAAATTAATAAAAATTAATAAAAATTAATAAAAATTAATAAAATTAATAAAAATTAATAAAAATTAATAAAAATTAATAAAAATTAATAAAATTAAAAAATTAATAAAAATTATAAAAATTATAAAAATTAATAAAAATTAATAAAAATTAATAAATTAATTAATTAAAAATTAATAAAAATTAATAAAAATTAATAAAAATTAAAAAATTAATAAAAATTAATAAGAATTAATAAAAATTAATAAAAATTAATAAAAATTAATAAAAATTAATAAAAATTAATAAAAATTAATAAAAATTAATAAAAATTAATAAAAATTAATAAAAATTAATAAAAATTAATAAAAATTAATAAAAATTAATAAAAATTAATAAAAATTAATAAAAATTAATAAAAATGAATAAAAATTAATAAAAATTAATAAAAATTAATAAAAATAATAAAAATTAATAAAAATTAATAAAAATTAATAAAAATTAATAAAAAATTAATAAAAATTAATAAAAATTAATAAAAATTAATAAAAATTAATAAAAATTAATAAAAATTAATAAAAATTAATAAAAATTAATAAAAATTAATAAAAATTAATAAAAATTAATAAAAATTAATAAAAATTAATAAAATTAATAAAAATTAATAAAAATTAATAAAAATTAATAAAAATTAATAAAAATTAATAAAAATTAATAAAAATTAATAAAAATTAATAAAATTAATAAAAATTAATAAAAATTAATAAAAATTAATTAAAAATTAATAAAAATTAATAAAAATTAATAAAAATTAATAAAAATTAATAAAAATTAATAAAAATAATAAAAATTAATAAAAATTAATAAAAATTAATAAAAATTAATAAAAATTAATAAAAATTAATAAAAATTAATAAAAATTAATAAAAATTAATAAAAATTAATAAAAATTAATAAAAATTAATAAAAATTAATAAAAATTAATAAAAATTAATAAAAATTAATAAAAATTAATAAAAATTATTAAAAATTAATAAAAATTATTAAAAATTATTAACTCTGAAAGTAGGTGTCGTGACGTGTAAGTCATAAATATGTTTCGGTTAAATCCTATTTGTATATTTATGTTTTAAATGAAGTTGTTTTTAATTAGTTTTTATTTTATAAACTGACAATACCGATACAAAAATAGTTTTAAATAGATTTATTTGCAATTCATGTATTTTTTAACATCGTAATTAAGTACTTTTAAATCAATGACGAAAAACTACTAGACTCAGTTTGTTTACAGAAATAAATTTTAAAGATTTACGGTGTTATCCACAAAGTAGTCAAATTATTACGAGTGAGTATGTGAGAGTAGTGTTACAAGGATTTTTATTGTTATAATTCGGTATTGACCTAACATAAGTCTTTAAAATGCACAAAAGGCTTTAAAAATTACATTCAGGAAGTTTATTTGCATTCTTAATGCCAGTTAATATGAGTTTGATGTATTTTTTCTCGTTGTAACTATTATAGTTGAAGGGAATTTCCAGGGAAGTTTAAAATTAATTTTGAACTGTTACAAATAATGTAATGCAAGCATCGTAGACGTAAGAACTAAGTAATGATTCATTTATGAAACGCATGCTCACACCTCAGATAAACAAATTCTCACAAACCATCTCCACTCAAATAAGCAGTCGTCTCGTTCTGCGTATAATCTGAATGATTGCTAAATAAGGGCTTAATTATAAGTGTATGGATCAATATAGTAGTTTTTGTCGTTGCTTTAAATATCAACAAAACTATGTATATTATTACAACACACACACACACACACACACACACACACACACACACACACACACACACACACACACACACACACACACACACACACACACACACACACACACACACACACACACACACACACACACACACACACACACACACACACACACACACACACACACACACACACACACACACACACACACACACACACACACACACACACACACACACACACACACACACACACACACACACACACACACACACACACACACACACACACACACACACACACACACACACACACACACACACACACACACACACACACACACACACACACACACACACACACACACACACACACACACACACACACACACACACACACACACACACACACACACACACACACACACACACACACACACACACACACACACACACACACACACACACACACACACACACACACACACACACACACACACACACACACACACACACACACACACACACACACACACACACACACACACACACACACACACACACACACACACACACACACACACACACACACACACACACACACACACACACACACACACACACACACACACACACACACACACACACACACACACACACACACACACACACACACACACACACACACACACACACACACATCATCGCGAAAATAGTCAAAACAGATTCAGGGGACATCAAAACGTAAAAATCCGTCAAAAACTCGAGGTCGAAAAAATCATGATTCCTATAATTTCCTTATATCTGTATACAGATAGGAAAGTAAAAATTACATTTTTGCTCTCATTGACTTTTGTACCGCGCAGTTAGCGAAAAAAATTAAGGTAACATTGTTAATAACATTCCAAATTTTGATGCCATATTATCGCCGATAGCAAGGATTTTCGGACTCATGCTTATTGATCATTTTTAAATGGATTCAACTAAAAATTAATTACTGCAAGTTCACTAATATAATAATTGTAAGTCTGTCCTGTTCAAGCAGAGATCACTAGCAAGTAAAATAGTTACTCTACTCGAATCATTGTACCAGTAGATGTTAGTCGCGGTTGCCTACAATAACTTTTATATTGTGATTATCCTACTATAGTTCTTCATAGACCTGTTTAGCTTAGTATGTTTCAACTAACAACGGTAACTAGAACATTACGACAAAGAAAACATTTATACATTGCTCTTTGTACTTCTATTTGATGAAATAAAAAATAATAAATAACTTACCTATAATAATTTAAAACTTGTGCAAAAACTCCGGGATGCCTATCGAAGAAATACTCGTTTAATATAGGATCATAATTAGCGAGAGCCTCCGTCAGCCTGGAGAGTCTGGTGGCGGGAATCTTCTTCAACGTGGCTTTATACGTCTCGTGGCGGATGCCGCCGACGTTTAGAACGACGCGGTTTTCCGCGTCCATGTTACCGACATTCATTTCTGCAACAAAAAATCAATGAGTCATTTTCACGCTTTGACCGTAGATGGGGTTAGTTGCGTGATTCAGATTGATGTGACATGAGTCGACTAATCGAAATTGATATATTATATGATGATAATGATTGTCGCATTAAGCATGAGATTTCTTAGAGTTGTGTTCGAAAAATAATATCTAGATTATATGATTAGTCGTAATTTATTTGATTATAAGCTAGTGTTTTCTTTTTTTTAACATCATCGGAGTCAAAGCAAGATAGGGCTACTTTATTTAAATTACAATTTTATGACGACACCCTAAATATTGACAATATTAGTTAATCCGATTTTATACAAGCCAGTCAAAAATTTAGCAATAAAATGACCTCTAGCTGTGATGATGTACTATCATTTTTGGTTAAAGATTGTATTTATTTATTATATTATTCATTAAACATCGTATTTAATTAATTAAGCATTAAAGTCAGAAACATTCCTGGAGCAGTGGAAAAAGGAAAGAATTATTCCTGTTGTTAAATCAGGTGATAAGACAAATTAAAAACTATCGTCCTGTATCTATTTTGTCAAATTTCTCCAAAATCTTCGAGATGTGTTATTTAAAATCACATATATCTGTTCGTTCGTAACCTAATATCTCCTTCGCAGCATGGTTTCTTAAATAAAAAGTCTACTTAAAGTAATAATAACTCAACACATATCTGAAGCGGTTGATACGGGTCGGCAAGTGGAGGTTATTTATACCGATTTTTCGAAAGCTTTGACAAAATGGATCATGGAATATTGATTGATAAGTTGAACTAGTTTAGTTTTTCTGATGCCTTGATCAGGTTCCGTAAATTGTATCTTCTGGAAAGCCAGCAATTTGTTTTTCATAACGGTTATTCTTCACAAGTGTACTTCGCAAAATCAGGTGTTTCGCAAGGTTCAAACCTTCGACTGTTGCTATTTTTGTTATTTAATAATGATCTCTATCACCATTTAATTTCTTGTAGACTTGTTTATGCAGATGACTTTAAAATATATCTATTAGTACTAGACATATATGACTGTTTAATTATTTAGCAGGATCTAGATAGATTATCAGATTGGTGCATGGAAAATAGGTTAATGCTAAATACATCTTAGTGTAAAGTCATGGTATATACCAGACACAGATCTACTTTAAATTTTTAAAATATTTAGCTATTAAAGTAAATGGTGTCTACCCTCCAAGAGGAATCGATTACCAGCTACTTTCGGATAGTTTTAACATTTGGGTGAAATCTAGCTTCTTTGACTTCTTCATACAAAATCATGAATGGATTAATTGACTTTCGTGCTATTTTAGCAAAAATTAATTTAAATATTGCCCGGTATAATCTGCAGACAATATTTACCTATTTATTGTAACAGATCAAGAACAAATATTCTATTAAGCTCACATCTCACTGGCATAGGCAATAACTTAAAAATAAAATCCCATTTTGGTTATCTTTTATATTTATTTTGTATTCACTGTTTCTCATAATATCCATATATATTTGTCAGCTTTACTATATTAATAATAATTTTTTTGGCTTGTTCTGTAAAATTATTTATATCTGTTGGGAAATAAAGGCTATTAATATTATTATAGTGGTTCTGAAAATAATAATCATAGGTACAAAAAAAGGAAAATTTACATTGCCACATCAGCCTTCATAAAATTATTCTGAGCTGAATTCCAAATATTGATTTGCAAAATTTCGTGGTGGTAAAATTTCATCATAAATGTTATTTGTCATCGTCAAATTTAAAATATTATTAAGCAAATCTGGATAACTTCAAAGCCAGAGTTCAAATGAAAAAATATCAAGTTTATAAAAGAGGGAAACATGGGAATTCTTTTGGGTTGTTGATTGTCAATCGGGTTTTGGAATTTAATAAAAGACAGAAGGGGGAATATTTAATGCAGGAAAAGTAAAAATTATAAGTTATAAGATGGATTATTGTTGGTTATTGGATTGTATTGGAAAGTTGAAATAAAGAAAATAATTTAATAAAAGTACAAATCTGTATTTACGAAATAACAAGAACAAACGGTGAAGGAGAGTGAAGTGTGAGAGACAGAAACAGACAAGCAGTACGATAAACACTTAGATCGGTCTCTTTTATTTAAGGATAAACACAAGCAGACAATCAGAAGGCAGCCGGTGCAGAAGAAAGAAGAAAAAGCCAAATTTTTATTAATTTTTTTTACTATTAAATTTTGTATTTTAAATTACAATAAATTTTGTAGGTATGAACCCGCCCTGTGCTGAAATTTTCTTTTTAATAGACCTTGCCATCACAAATTGTTATTGTGCGCATACGTCAGTATCAGCCATCTTTTTAGTACTGTTTTTGAGGGCAAGCATGTTAAAATGCCCACTTGAACAAAATTATAATCGATTAATATTAATTTAAGTATATTCATTTCAAAAAAGAAAGAAAAAACCAAAGTAATAATAAGTTTAATGTCTTAAATGAAAAATACATTTTTGCAATCAATTATAATAATTATGTTATCTGTATAGAAAGGAACAACGAAACAGTGTTGTTATGGAGTATGTAAAAGTAACACACGGTATAAATCATTTAAAAGCAATGCATATTATTTTATAAATTTCCAAAGCTTAGGCTGCAATATCGTAAAAAATTATCAGGCAAACATGTTCAAAAAGCGCAAAATGCGCATTAGGTGTGAAAAAATGTGGTCAAAGTAACAATGCTTTTCGATCGATTGATCATGTTATACTAAAGATACCTACTTTTATTTGTTCTCTACATTTTCATGGAAAAATTGGTCCAACGGAAGAAAATTATTACTTTGAGCGTTAAATTAAAATTATAAATAATGGAGGTACAGTTCCGGTAGTCGAAACTTATTTATAGTAAATTTCCTCCTCTTTAAAGATCTTTTTTGAAAAATATAAAAATATTTATAGTTTACAAACTATAGGCGAAAAACCAAACACCATGTTTTTGAGGTGTTTAATTGTTTATAACTTTTGCAATTTTTTATGCACTGTAAAATTATTCTTTACACATTTATCTAGACATTATTCCGAATCGAATAAGCTATTGAACATAATTTTAGTAATAGTATGTCCCAAAAACACGCTTTTGAACTTGTTGATTAGACTAAGTCTAGACATCATTATTTGATGTTTTCTTCTTTTAATACAAGTATATTTAACGACTTCTATATCAGGAATAATTTCTCTCAATTTGTTTGTTTTGGAAGATTCCCATCCTATTTTCCAGTTGTTATTTACTAAATGTCTTACTTCATTATATACATATTGGAACTGGACTTATTTACCGATTGAAGGTTGGCATAAGCTTGATTAGTAATACAGTCAGCTTTTTCATTGCTCGTTATGCCATGATGTTATGGAAATCACAATAAAATTGTCCCTTTTTGTTCTCTCTGCAGATAAAATATTTCGGATTTAATTTTCATTAGGAGAAACTATTCTGGCTGAAGTTGTTGAATTTCATAGATCGCACTAAGCGAATCAGTAATTCTCACATAGTTTTCATCAGCTTCTGTAGACATTAAGAGGAACTAAAGAATATCGAAGGGTTTTTCATTATATATGCTACAGCAGTCTGCTAGTATGTAGCTAATACGGTTTCCGATTCCAACACTATTCGGAGTTCTTAAAGCGTTTGTATAGATATAGTTATAGCCACAATAAGGATAAAGAAGAAGATGAGTATTGCATGTAGGGATATTTAAAATTCAGGTATTTGATAATTGTTGTTTAACTAAGTATGTACTATTAAATTATATGTAGTTTTATACGGTTTAAGTGCGTTTAGAAAAGGGATAGAGTGATTCAGGTTTTCAATCAAAGTTTTACTGATTTGAATTGGAGAAAGTGCTTTGGTCTGTTTTGGTATACAGGATTATTTTCACTGCATATGTCATGTTCAAGTAGTTTAAGTGGAGTTCCACTAGACTCTAGAGGCTTTCCAAAGGAGAAGTCACGAAAGTTCTCATTGCAATTCTAGTGGCTATATTATAAATTAAGTTCAGTTCTCTAAGTATAGACTTTTTGGCGTGGCAACCGTAATCTAATTTTGATGTAATAGTTGCTCTGTATATGTGCATTAGAGGTGTACAATCAGTACCCCATAAGTGACTAGCCAAGGTTCTCAATAAATTTAATATAAGTAAATATTTCTTTTTTAAGATTTGAACATATAAGTGTCATCGGGAGTTTTAGGTCAAATATAAGGCCCAAAAACCTAATATTATTCACAAATTCAAGCGACTTGTTGTTCGTAACTAGTATGTGGGTAGCAATTTGGCGGTATCGTGAAAGGACAATGTATTTAGTTTTTTTGTCGTGAATTAGAGACCTTTTTTCGACTATTTTTCCAAGTTTTTCATTGCATTTTATAGTAGTTTATCAAATGATTGAAAGTTATTTTCAGTTGTGTACATAACTTACTCGTTTTAGGATATTGTTGATTGTTTTAAAAAACGAAATCATGCTCAAAACTGAGTCTTATGGAGGTCCATTTTCTGTGTATTTTAGTTCTGATAACATAATATCTTTTAAACTTACTTTAAAGCTTCTGTTAGGTAAAAAGTTTTCATTAAACATTAACATATTTCTATTTATTCCCCATGTCATAAGCATTTCTAAAGTCGAAGAAAATTTCTGTTACCTTTTCTTAGTTGGTTAGGTACTTGTATCTACAACACAAGCACTATGCAACCATAATACCATTTATACGACTTCACAAAGGCTTTTGATACGATTGATCATAATAATATATTTTATAAACTTGCTGAGGTAGGTATCCATGTTAGTAATTTGTTGGACGGGTTTCATCTTATATTTAGTACATAACTTAAACTGTTAGAATTGTCATGTATAATAGCTTTGCATTTACCCTTATATCATTTAGTGTATCTCAGGGATATCATCCTTTTAAATATTTACATTAATGTTATTGTCAACTAACTGCTTTACCATTTTTGAATTCATGTAACAAAAAGAGTTTTTGATATTGTTGCTACCAATTTATTTTTATTTACATTTCTTGTAAATTTATTTTACT